ATTTATTAAACATGACCAGTTAATTTATGCTTTTCTCCCTAAACTGCCTCCCCACCCTGCCATCTACAGCATCCACGGTTTTTCCTAGAACACTTGTGGGGTCAGGCCCATCTTTGGGAGGCCTCAATTTTACTGTTTTGCAGAGGAAGAAAAAGAATTGAAAACAAAAACTTCACCTTATTTGTTTGGAAAGGAATGAGCAATAAGACAGAAATAGTGGTTTAGGAATGATGCAAAAAGCATGTCATTGAACTCGCCAAGGCTAGACATTATGAAGCTTCTTGCCCATAACAATAATTACTTTATTATCAATTAGTTATTGAGAATTTACTATGTGTTAGACACCACACTACTGGCTTTATCTTGCATTTTTTCAGTCCATCCTCTTGAAACTCTATGAAACAGGAACTACTCAGAAAAGTCAGGTAACTCATTCCCAATCACATTGTTGACAGGTAGCTGAGCTAACCTCTCTATAGCCCAAATTCATGCTTTTAGCCACTCTATAATAATCCTCTTTATGGAAATGATTCAATATTTGAATAAGCTTAAAAGGCCATAAACATTGACTTATGAACCCACATCTTCCCATTATGATGAATATCTTTGGTTAAGGTGAACGTTCAAGCGTCAAGATAAGTTCCCTCTACTTCACTGGGGCTCTCAGAATTTTTCTTTCATCTTGAAATTCCATTCGTGACAAAATCAGGATAGGTAGCTGGATGAGTTGGTCTCTTAAGTTTTTTTTTCCACCTTAAGATTTTATGATTCCTCAGTGCTTTCTATGTCTCATATAAAGTACCCAGTGTTGTTATAGATTATGCTCACAATGGCTACTAATGCTCCCATTTCCCTATTTCTACAATGAGAATAATGTACTTTTTTCCTTTCTTCATGGGGATACCATAGGCATCAATAATATAATAGCTCTATAAATGTGTCAAGCTTATGAGGAAGACCAAATACAAAAATCTAAGTTATCATTGTCTTCTGAATCATTTACATTTTAATGCAAAAATGGAAAGCTTCTAGACAAGTCTGTGGCACACTTAGCTTTATTGAAATTGTACAAATGCTTTTTTTTAATAACCCCTTTTACAACACATGTAAAATTTAATTATTTCCTTATAGTTTTACAGGTTGTCTTTTATCTGAGTAAGCAAAAATACGTTTTTTTTTTTTTTCTTACTTAAAACATGTAGCCAGGATTCAAACCATGTAGCTCTGGTACCAAAAAGGCAACAGGTTATGAAAATCACAGTACAATTTCAAAATTCTTTAAGTAAGTCAAGGATATTGAAAACGATATTCACTTAGATTGACAATAGAAATCATGGATCAGTCGACATTAGGACTAATAGTTACACCTACAATGAGAGCAGAAATGGAAAGTTCAAGCTAATCTGAGCTACACTGTTCAGGACACACCATCTCAATAAATACTGTGGCTAAGTGGCTGCAATGGCTAAATCACACTTGGGCACTTGAAGTTGCACATAAGTATAGCCAAAGCGAAAAAATATGTATAGTGTGCTAACTTGGATCTAAAATAAAATGAGCACTTTTTTTTAAGAGGGTATACTATCAAATCAATTACACGATACATAATTTAAACTCCAAATTTACATCCAGGAGAGAAAAATAATATTAAAATGCACACCTAACAGACAGTAATGTAGAAATTTGTTCTTCATCATTGGTGTTTATTTGTTGTTTTCTGGATAAGTAGAAATAATTTACGACCCACAAAAGGATTTCTCAGGTGAAACACTAATTACAGACATTGTAAAGAATGTAGCTTAGGAGGCTTTTTTTAAAAACGAGGCAGCATTTTCCTGAAAAAGTTTGGTCCTCAACTCACTATAGGCTAGTCACTATGGTCAGATGGTAAGCATTTTCAAGGAGTGTGTGTGTGTGTGTGTGTGTGTGTGTGTGTGTCTGTGTGTGTGTGTGTTTTAAGCTAACTTGTCAGTACCAGAATTAGTCAAAGCCAAACCAAACCAAAAAAGTAAACAGCGTTCTAGAACTTGACCCTGCATATCATATCTGATTGATGTGTCATCTGAAAGAACAATGCTAAAGACTATGGAAGGGAATTATGCTCACGTGATTCTGCAACACCTTAATTTTATGCAGTTTTCTTCGTTGCTTGCATAACTTGTCTTTTCTCATGTAGGTGCCAGATAACCCACCCCCATGACCCTCCCTCCCCCCTCCCTCAATCTTCTCCTCCGTCAAAGTGATATAAAGACAATTTCACTGTGTATTTACAAGCACAATGCTGAGGCAAGAAGGTCCCAGGTCTGTAGGGCACATCTATTTCTTGTGGACATCTTCATGCCGAATGATCTTGTATGTGATCCAGTAAAAGATGTTGAAAATGAGGAAGGCCAATGGGAAGGCAGCTCGAGATATTGTGTCAATCCTTTTTGCCCGGTCCACAAACTTCTTCTTGATGGCATCTGCATCTTTTGGGGGTTGTGGGAGCGGGTTGGCAGGTGTGGTCTTGACAGCTGTTCCATCTTTCACTTGGAGGCAGTGACCCATCCCATAGCCACTGAAATTAAAACGACTTTCACGAGTAGCATCTTCTTCCTGGGAGAATAAAGACAGAGGAAGCACAGATTGGTTGTCAGTCAAGTTAGACGGAAGATGCTTAAAATTTTTCAAAAGTAAAAGGATAAATCACAGTTAACTGGTGGTGTGGGAGGCTTTTGGAATAGGGAGTTCTTTTTCAAGTTCAACTCAATTATTCATGGAACAGATACAGTTCATTAACTTTTCAGGCTGAGAAATTAAGGGTAAGAATAATGACTTTGTGGTCATTTTAATTAACTAACACACAGAAATACCTACATTATATTCAGTACTGACTTTCCCAAAATCTAGTTTATTAATCCATAGATTCAAACAGACTGTTTTAAAGCCAGTTCTTCAAATCCCAGTATTACACTATAAATCTATGAAGAAGACTGCTTGTTCATTCATTCATTCATTCATTCATTCAAAAAGCATTTACTGAGCCCCTGCAGTGTGCCTGGTCCTGAGTTAGGAAATTCTAGTATTATGGCCTGTTCACAGCCCAGTTCCTACATTAACACTAGCTTTAATGTTGATGTTAAATCTAAGATGAATCCCTTAAATGTACACCTGTTTCCCCTCCAGCCCTCTCGTTCATCTCAGTTATATAGCAGAGATTAAATATTCATTATTTGGTGTAAATATTTCCACTATGGCTAATTTTTTCCTGTGTCAATTTTTAACATTGATTATTTGGCTAGTGAATCATCTCTACCATATTTAAACATGTGTCATTTTAGCTGATGTCAGTGATATTTTGTGTTGATTTTTTCTACATGAATTAGATAAAAGACTGAAAAATTGTATTTATTCCTCAGCATAAGGACAAATAGCCTTAGAGACAAGGATCTGGGTGTATGGTTGGGTCAAAGAGGGAACACAATGGTGTGGTTGTAAAGGTGGGATTGAAATGACCTGCTTCATAACAATTTAGCTGTAAATAGCCATCGATTGAATCATCATCTGTAACTAGATTACTGCCTTCCACAATACTGTGCAACCCCTTTGAGTCACTAGAAGTGTTAAACTCTTTATCTTTCCAGATAATAATGGTTATGTTTCCCAAAAGACAAGAAAACTTGGTATTAATTTTATTTCATCAATGTTTACCGCATATCAGTAGTGCCTTCAGCCTCATATAAAAGGTATACTAAATGAAGGACTTATAATATGAATGACAGCTCAACTATAACTCAAATAGTACGACAATGACAAAATTGTATTTCGTATACTGAAATGAGTTTTTTAAGTTCAATAGCAGATCCCCAGAGAGGTAAGAAAGGTGAGAGCTATTTCAGTTAATTATACTTCATCATGTGCAAAATGGGGAGCGAAAGAGCATGCAGTTTAAAGAGAAGTGCAAGGACTTCAGAATGGGTAGATTAGATTATATTAGGTCATTAAGTATGAAATGTCCTATTTCCTTAAGTACTAAGTTTGATGGTTGCTATCTCTGACATTTCACTTTGACATTTCTGGGGTTTTTTTCCCTATTGTGAAGGTACACCCTCAATCTTTCAAACACGTGTTTTGGCTTGTGATTATCTTTCACATTTTTTTAGAGCAATTTTTGCGAAACCATGGATAAGTCAAAAATTCATGTTATTTTTGAATATGAGTTCCATCATGGAACCAATGCAGTACAGACAGCTCGAAATATCAATGAAGTGTTTGGGAAGGATGTGGCTAATGAATGCACAGTATATCAATGGTTTGAGAAGTTCCATTCTGGTGATTTTAATTTTGAAAGTGAGCCATGTGGGTGACCTGAGACCAAGGTGGATAATGATGAGCTGAAAACTAGTGGAAGCGAATCCATCTCAACCTATGCATGAATTAGCAGCAAGGTTTGATGTTACTATTCGAACAATATTGGAGCATTTGAAACAAATGGGCAAAGTAAAGAAGCTGGACAGATGGGTATCGCATGAATTGAACGAGCGTCAGAGGTGAAATCGTCTGGAAGCTTGCCTTTCTTTGCTGTCACAACATACAGGCAAACCATTTCTACACTGTATTGTTATGTGTGATGAAAAATAGATTCTGTTTGACAAACACAAGCATTCAGCACAATGGTTGGATAAAGATGAAGTATCAAAACACAGTCCAAAACTGAATATTCATCAAAAAAAGCTAATGGTGTCTATTTGGTGATCCAGTGCTGGTATTATCCATTATAGCTTCATGAACCTGGTCAATCGATTACAGCGGATGTCTACAGCAACCAATTGGACAAAATGATGAGGATGCTTGCAATTAAGCAGCTGAGATTGGTCGGTAGAGATAGGTTAATCCTCTTGCAAGACCACATGTTGCAAAAAACAGTGCTGCTAAAACTTCGGAGGCTGGACTTGGAAACTCTCTGTCATCCACCATATTCACCAGACCTTGCACCAACTGACTACCACTTCTTCCAGGCTTTGAACCACTTTTTGTAAGGAAAACTATTCAGTTTTCAACAAGCTGTGGAAAACGCCTTTTGAGATTTCATCGCCACTCGCTCCCAGGCTTCTCTGCTGCTGGCATAAATAAGCTCCTCTTAAGATGGCAAAGCTGTGTCGATAGTTTAGGTACATACTTTGATTAATTGTACTGCTTCTTATTTGAGATATAATAAACTAAACTTTTGATTTGAAATCAGACATTTCATATTCAATGACCTAATAGTATATGTGCTCAGGTGAGTAGCTGCAGAACCTGGAAGGGTGGACAGATTGGCTTCCATGTGGCTGAAGGAGCTCAAGAAATTTCACCCCAAAATATGACTGCTTGGTATAAAAAATATTTTGAATTAAAGGCCATTGGAGATTTTAAAAAGTACTGGAAGGGGCTTTTCCTCTGTCTGCATAAACAGGACTGACCTTTCCTCTATCTGTATAAATTGGACTGACCTGATCAAAAGATCAGTGGGGGCACTTGATTTCCTTTCCTCTCCCTGTTATCTCAATATATTGCAGGAAAGAAAATCAAGAATGCAAGCCGACCTGGCTTAAATTATTTTAAACACAACATCTGTCTCTCAGGTTAATGTAATTTGCAGAAAGAATCATTTACAAGTCAATCTGTCTCCCCATCCATTTGTCCTCCCTGGCACCATTTGTCACCCCTAAACAGAATTACCTGTACTCCACATTTCCCCTCCCCTCCCCTCCAAAAAGACAGGTATAAAAATATCTGAACTTCATTGGGATATGGGGTAATCACTCTTGTGATTCTCCCCATGTGCATGGTAGTGGTAAATAAACCTTTCTCTTATTAATCTGCCTTAATTGTGAGTTGTTCTTTCAGCAAACTTTCAGGGAAAAGGCAAGTTTCCCCTCACCCCTACATGGCTCACTTAGCTAGATCAGTACTCATGTGCCACTTCTCTCTGTGGGAGGCACATGCAGCCTGAAAATGAAGAAGAGAATTTAACAGAGTCCTTGGGGCCTTTTGTTTATTGAGATTGCCTGTTGTGATACAGTACCTCTGGTGAGGCCAGCCCTAAACATGGCTGACCATTTTATTGCAACCTGGCAATGACTTGGAATTTGAGCTGGAGAGATAGAAAGTGTGAATAATTATTATCCTTCACTGTGTAGATCTGATCTCTAGGAAAATCAGGCTAGAAAACAGAAGGCTCATTTATTTGATACATTGGTAGATCTTATTAATGAATATACCTGGTGTTACCAATAAAAGACATTAATTATAACCTTTAATCAACCCAGATATGTCACAAAAATTAGGCCAAAGCTCTTGTAAAAAGTAACTGTAAAACTACTACTTTATAAAGTCATCTCTCTAATAATTTTGTTTATATGGTATTGTCCTACACAAATTAGCTCAAGGCATTCTAATTTCTTAACAAAATGTAATAAAGGATTTTTTGTTCAACCATTAATTATTGAGTGTTGCCTCTATGACAAGCATTGTGCTAGGTGCTGGGAGACAGTTTATGAAGTTGAACAAGGGCTCTACTTGCATGGAGCTTTCAGAAGCTGGTGGAAGAAGCTGACCTAAAGGTATTATCATATAAAGAAGCTAATCAAGAAAATCCAGCCTGACATTTGAGTACTCCCATGTGCTCAGCTATATAGACTTAATATTGAAGACTTAAATTAGACTCAGATTCAAATATTAAATCTGTTTTCTTTGCCTTAAAATATGAATGATATATTTTATGGGTACAAAAGTTTCAAATAAGTGAGCCTTTCATAATCATTATAGTGTCATCATAACTATCTGAATACTTATTCAGTGCTTAGTGAGAAAAGGAAGCATACAGGAGGAGGGGACTTGCTTGTCACATGGGTTATGGTCAGTCTTGGACTTTCCAGCTACTGCTAATTGCTAATTAGATTTCAACCTATATGTGAGTGAAGTAGAAATGGTGCCAATTGGTTTAGCAAAGAGAGATCCAGATTGGGAATTTGGATACTATGGTTCTAGGCCTGACTCCAAGGCTTATAAGCTGTGTTGATTTTAGGTAAGCTACTTATTCTTTCAAGGCCTCAGGGACCTCATACCAAAAATGTCAATCTGCACTAGATCTGTGGGTTTCACCTTTGGCTTCTGGAGAACTTCTACAAATACATGTATGCCCACCTCCCCTCCTAACCCCTTCCAGACCAACTGAATCAGAATTTGTGGGGATGAGAATTTAGGATCTATATTTTTAAAAATCCAGTAACTCTAATGTAAAATGTTGGAAACCAGTGTCCTAGATGAGTTCTAATGTCCATCTCTAAAATGTACAACCTATTCTATATTATTAAGTCTAAAATTACTTTTCAAAGGGAAACACCCCCTCACAATACATTTCCCCTCATCTGCCCAAATTTACTTTGCTGTTTTTTCTTTCCATATCTGTAAAATCTTGCAAATTACAGTTCTCACCTCTATAAACACTTAGAAACTCATGATTAAGCATATAGTTCACTGCCTGAGTGAGATAAGGTTCTTTAAAATTCCTAAGCCCCTAAAGAAATAGAAAGGGTAGGTAGGTAGTAAATTGTGTTTAGCACACAAAACAA